CATTGACCTAAATGACCCAGGTCGAAAGTGTTATTTTTGGAAACGTACTGCCTAGTGTAAGCTTCGTCGCTTATTCAAATGCAAAACTCAGCGCGGTCTTGTATGATTTTGGTCACCATGACCTTAAAAAGTTGAAACAAGGCCACTGACCTTAAATGAGCATGCGACCTTTTGTTTAGAAACAGTTGTCTAGGTTCTGCAGGCACTTGGGAGACCAGCCTGGAATTTGACCTTTGTGAGCTTATTTGGCCTGAAGGTCATGACCTAGAAACCTCAAAATCTTAGCTGAGTGAGTCCATACACAAGTGAACACACCCTGTAAATTTGGTATCTCCAGCCTTCTTAGTTCCCGAGATCTTAGTGTGTGGGGGGGGGGGGGTCAAATTGACCCCTACCCGAGCGAAGGGTTTCCAGCCGGCCACCCAGGCGCGTGTTAAGCGAAGCGGATCTCCGGGACGGATGGATTGTCGTTGTTTAATCTCACGCCATCGGCTGTAGCCGCACGTATTCCGGGCGCGTTGTTTTTGCACGCGAGTGGTCAGATTGCGGTCACACGCGGCAGCTGACAGCACAGGCAAGTTCAGTCTCATGCAGCGTCCGCGCAAGAGCCCTGAAGGCGAGGTACCTGATGTGCAGCGCGGCGTGGCCTGATACATCGCTAGGCGGTAGCGGATGTGGGAAGCAAAGGAGTCGCGTGCACCCCAGCTGGTGGTGGCCTCCAGCACCCAAGTCTTTAGGATGCGGTTAGAAAACTCCATTTCCAGCCGTATTTCCCCGAGGATGATGCAGAGATGACCCCGTGTTCGTTATGCTGCGATCCCTCAAGTGCTTCTCAAGTCCGAGTACCTTGGAGCAGGCTGCTGAGAAGTTTCTGGAAAGCGCTTCTACTCGAGATGAGGCCAAGCGGAGTTTTGATGTAGCGCATGAATCAGTCAGGCATGCGGAGGGCGGTAGTGTTTCGAGAAACATGGTGGAGGCAGACCTGGTGGTATGCCTTCATCAGGTCGATGCGACTGCACATTGAGCCGAAGAGCTTGGGCTCAAGGTGGTCGATGGTGAGAAGCGGCAAGGGCTCTGCTACGATCTGGGCACTAGGACGGCGGAGGTCGACGCTGACACTGATCTTCCCGTACTTCCTCCTTGCGACGGTGAGGGATTTGATCCGCCCTTAGGCGCCAACACGTTCGATTATGCCAGCATCCAAATGGCGCTTCAACTCAACCAACACTTCCCCACGGACAGTGAGGGGAGGTCGGAGCACATTGCAGGCCGTTTGGACAACGTCCGGCTTGAGTTCGACACAGTGCTTAAAGCCTTCGACGGCAGGGAAGAGCTGTGACACGTTCACGCTGAGGACGCTGTTGGGCGTTGCAAGGAGCGTGGTGGAGAGTGCGCTCAGCAGGGTCATGCCCATGATAGCCTCCCACTTAGACGTCTTCACAGGGAGGACGTTGGCCGAAGGTTATGGGCCGTTCAATCTCACTACATTTGATCTACCGGCCAGCTGATCGCACTGTCGAAAGCTAAAACGCCCAACAATATGTTGAGGCCGCGAGGTGTAGAACTCCAGGAGATGGCGCGCCGCCATGTCAAGTCTGATTCGCAGTCTGTCGTAAGCGCCGGGACAAAGTCTCGAACAGGTGGCCTGCCGCCTGACCACCGCAATGGAGAATGGCGCACTGACGGACGGGACTAAAACTCTTCTCGGAGATCGTAAGGAGATAAAACTTGCGTTCTCACACACGAGCCACTCAATGGCCGGGTTGCCAGGCCGCGGTAGGATGGTGCAGGAGGCTACATGCCGTCCGAACTCGTGCTTATGCAGGCGCGTAGGTCGGGCTCGCTCGGCAAAACCACCGGCTTTGCTGGGCACTAGAACGGCCGCCAAGTGTGCCGCGTAATCGCTGTGCAGTCTCAAGGCGCTAGCCGACGTAAACACGATAGAGCTGAAGGGATATAAGGCGCTTGGTAGTGGTGGATCTAAGATCTAAAGGGATATAAGGCGCTTGGTAGTGGTGGTGGTGGTCAATGCATTTTGATCACGGCAGTGCGACGAAATCACAACCGCTGCAGAGTCTATTGCCTGGGATGTTAGACGAAGATAGCCAACATTCGGACTTTGTGGTGAAAGTGTGTGAACCAAGGGCGTGAGTAGGGGTGCGAGGATCGAGGGCGAGGGGCGAGGGCCACCTGCAGTTGTCAGGTCAGGTGGCAGCCAAAGCATAAAGACTAGAGGCTTAAGGTTAACGGGCTAACAGGACTTTCTCATCAACATTCAGGAAAGCGTCAGCGTCGAAAGCCAAGTTCCAGTCCGTATCAGTGCCGTGCTCCCTTCTCTTCCCACACCTCTCCATGGATGAGGAGCGGGTAGGGACAACCAATAAGCGAATATCTAATTGGATAAGGCCGAGGAGAGAGCTGCGTCAAAGAAACGAGAAACGGAAATCATCGGCGAGCGGTCACAATATAAACATTCTGTTGTGTCTTAGAAAGAACGAAGGTGTATTGCCGAAGAGGTGTACAGCTACCGAACAGGCTGACGGTGTCTTCTGAGTGTCAGCGACTTTCCAGATAGGCATTTCAGATGAAAGCCCCATACAAACATGGAACTCACATAGACAAGACAGTAGCAATAGCCTTTTTCCTCGGAGAAAAACCAGGATAGTGGAGATATAGATGGGTTGAAACTTTAGCAACATGCATTTATCGAAACAATAGCATAAGTCTTCACTTCTTCATGGAGCTTCCTTAGCCCCATGTCCTGATATGGTCAATAATGCCTTAAAGGACTCGTATCCAGCACAAAAAACCTGCACATGTCCGCAGTGTGGCCATTTTGGACAGAGTGCCGGTAGTAAGGTAGCGTAGCGTGCTCTTTTTTAACACAGACAATTGCCTGTTTCGTTGCTTTTAGCCGGTAAGGTGCGTTCTCTCCACCACTGACATGGACGCCACCAGAACGCTTTTTCATTGGCAGGTCTTTTTCTTTAGCTTGCTGCACCCATGGCCGTTTTTTCAGTGTATTCCGGAGCACACGATAGCAATTCTGACCTATTGAGAAGTACTGGAAACATCGTTCAACGCAGAGTCACGGGCGGAATGAAAAGGGTAGGAGGGTCGCTAGCATCACATACCCCTCTCACCTCTATCAAAATCTCATGTCCGCTGCCCAGCTAAGCATAGAAAAAACACAGACGTAAAAGCGGGTGTCCTTCCATTTCTTCAGATGTTCACTGGATCCCCTTAGAAACCTACGTGACGAGAGTTGAGGGCAGGAAAACTCGTAGCATCCGTTCCAACACTATTTCCTCGCAAGGTGTGTGTTATATGCCTTTTCACGGTTTTTACAGGCTGTCTATGATGTTGGTGGCGGCAGAAACTGACGGTTAGTTGCACACAAACAGCAGGCATAATTGTCGAAAGAATCGAGCAGAAGTATTGGTATTACGGGCGAAGTAGTTTTGGATCATCGTCCTCGTCTAGGCTATTAGCATTTACACTAAATGCTAACACACTAGACGATGACGATCGTCCGACTCCATACTTGAAAGAAATATGGAAGGGAAAATGAGCGCATGCGCGCCTGTCAGCGTCAAGCATATGATAGAAATATCAGCCGTAATGCAGCAATGAAAGCACATCCCCAGTCGTCACAAGGTTTCACAGCGCAGCGTTCCGCCCAGGCCCAGGTTCCACAGGGATCTGACAAGCGCGCATGAGCGACCAAAACGAACAGCAAGGACAACAGCCAGCCTCTTCCCTTCCCTCGGCGTTTGTGGCGGCTGACACCACTGGACGGCCCTAGATCACGTGGTAGGATGGCTTCTCCGGGCCGCTCCGCCTGGCCAGGTCACTTCCGGGCTTGCTGGACCCCGAACAGCTCGACGACAGAGGACGGCGGCGGGTGCGCCTCCGTCGGCCGTTCTGCGTAGCTCTTACTGAGCAATTCGCCACTAGATGGTGCTCCATCTGCTGCCTGACTTGCAAGATTGTGTGAAGCGTGCTCAGGCCTGACGAGCGCAGGCACCGTCCCGGCCTCCAGCGGTGACATCGGGGCGGCGACGGGCCCACGCGAGGCGGCACCGCTCGGAGCCCGCGATGGCGCGCCTCCGCCGAAGCGCGAGGCGGAGCCGGGCCCGTCTACCAGGTGTCGCTGCGGTGATCCTGGCGCGCCATCGTTGGCCGCAGCGGAGCCGAGGCCAGCGGCCGGCCTGCCCAGGGCGCCACCGGCTCCGGGAAGGTCGGCACGAGCAGCCAGAGCGTCGCTGACCAGCTGACGGTGGAGCGGGCTGATCTGACTCTGACTCGGAGACTGCTCTCGTCGGGCCCAGCCCGAGTGCGGCTTGTTGTAACCTGCGAGAGACGTTATCATCGTATCACTGTTAAAACAACATCAACGGACACTTTAAAAAACAAGCCTCTTCGATATTCTTCAATGCTTCTTCTCTATGCCATACTAGTCTTCCTCAATGCGTTCCGCAGCGTGCACCAATAAGGGTATGATAGGCATGAAATAGCCCAATAGGTCGCATCAAGATCTCTAGTCGGTTGAACATTCAGAATAGGCATCAATGCGTGAACAACGGAGGTCAGAATCACTGGCGTTGTTGACAATAACTCGTGGTGTTTTCCAGCCCAAGGATAGATGTGTTCCGCAACATGAACATCTATAGGTCTATAAATGCGACGCCCATCGGCAGATAGTGACATGTGACGTCACGCCATGTGTCAGTGCGTGCTCCCGGCCGAACCAGGAGCGGTGGACCAGACCTGCCAGACCTGCCAGGTGGCAGCGGCGGCCGCCGCGTGTGCGGGGTCTCTGCTGCGGCCGGCGCGGCACTCACCGGCCGCCACGTTCTGCGTGACGGTGAAGGCGCGCGCCGTGTCCAGCGGCAGCGTCCAGTTCACCGGTTCCGGCGAGTGCAGAGCAGCCACGTCCTCCGGCGACTTGACGCGGGTCGGTTCTGGCGGGCTCTTTACCAGGGCAGCCAGCGCCGCCTCCTGCGGGCTGCCGGCCGCCGGCATCTGGGTGGCGACGACGGCTTCCTCTGCCACGCTCTTTGCGTCTGCCGCGACCGCGTCGGCTCTGCTGCCGTCTTTCGGGGGCGCAGTGTCAGCAGCCGGGCCAGCGCCGACGGGCCTGAGCCCGGCACGCGACCCGTTGGAGTCCGCGGAGGCGGCTCTTGCCTTTGCGGACCCTGCTGGAGCGCCATCCTGTGGCCTCCGGCTGACCTTGGGCGGGCCCGGGCCAGCTGGCGACACGGTGCCTGGCTGCTGACACAGTGACAGCGCCGCCCGCGGCCGAGACGGACTCCTTCCCCGACCCTTGTCCACCGCATCGGCTGAAGACCGGCCCAGAGCAATGTCACGCAGGTCAGCGCGGGCCTACGATGAGATCCGTATGCCGCGTATCTCGGCGCACTTGCTGAGTGCACCGAGAACACGCGGACTGAGCCGTCGTCTTACTGAACAAACACGATTTCTCTGAACACAAACTTTAAAGGATAGCGTGGCAATTTCTCCAGCTGTAGAAGCAACCACAATACAGCAATATACGTTAGTGCTCTTAAAGTCCGAGAACAATTGCATGTCACCGGCAGTCAGCAATTTCTGTCTCGACCTCCATTACGCGAATGTTATTTGCTCATCCAAAGAATGCAAGCTCACAGAGCGCGCCTCTGCGCTGGTCTGGCCACTGACCTGCGCCTCTGGCGCCCACCGGCTGGGCACTGCCGGGGCGACTCTTCCGCTCGGTGATGTGCAGTCTGAGTGACGCCTGCAACACTGATCGGCGTCAGAGGCCGGGTATAAGCACTAGTCACCGGCACTAGCGGCGACACTGGCACGGTAGGTGTGTGGTTTCGTGTCAGTAGATGCCATGCAACGACCGATGCAAGGGCGCGCTAAACTGAGTTATTCTCTTTCAATTTATTTGTACGAGATTCGACCGTGTCTGTTATGGATTTTCACTCGTGGTAGCTATTAGTCAGTGTACGGCATACAGTCAGTGGGCTGCGCAGACCGATGGACACCAAATACTACAAAGTAATGAAGTGCCGTCCGGCTTCATTGCCTAGGGTACGGAAATCATCTGCTGGTCTAAGCCAACGATGCATATGCACGTGGTGTGACGCTTTGGGCATCACAACCTTATCATTTCCTTAACTGGGTATTATTCGTCAAACCGTTAATAGTCCGAAATAAGAAAAACGGCCCAATCAGCAATAATTTTCACAACTTAATAACCTGAAATTGCGCCATTAAAACCAGATGGTGCTGGTGTAGGCACGTTAGAGGCGGCGAAAGGCGGCACAGGACCTCCAGCCGCCTGAGGGGCGCCTCCGCTGGGCCCAGCCGCAGGGGCGCGGTGCCGCACCTTGGCGCCCGGCGGTCTCCTCTTGTCGGCACCCGGCGGCTGTCGACTGTCGGCGCCGGCCGACACTGCCGCCGCCCGACTGCGCCCGTCAACAGTGTCGGACGCGGCGCGACCGCGACCCTCCCTCGTGAACCTGTCGAGCGAGAGAGAGAGAGAGAGTGGGGCAGCTCATCACGGCCGGCGACGTCCCGGCCAGCGGCGAGACCATCCACCAGACAATGGTGCGGCGTCCGCGCCGCCATGAAAGCATTAAACCCTGACGAAGGGCATCTGATGAAATAGGGCCGAATGATAAATCGCGCGAGATGGACCTTGCTGGCGCTTTGCCAGACCTATGCATGCAAGGGATGCCCAAGGGATGAGAACCTCCATGTTTTCGCGTACCGAGGGTTTGACCGAGACTATCACCTATCAGAAAGAGGCGGCGGTCAGTAGCGTAATGACGCAATCACGTGGGCTTTTTTGTTATTTCATTTGACCCGCGGTTTCAGAAAAAGAGCAGTACTGTCCCCACTTTTACACTTTCATACCCGGGTGTGTAAGTCCTCAAAAAGCGCGCTGACTGTCGCGACACGGTGGTACTTAATCTGCTAGCCGTATGAACTATGCGGAATATTCATTGAAGCTTGATAGTAATATCCATCAGCGACAGCCATCATTGGCAATAAATATAATAACTAAAACGCTAGGCAGCGCTGATCATTTTGTGAGCTACTTTAATAAGACGAAGAATGGCGGTTCGGCGACTAAATTTCTTCATTAACCGACTGCTCGGAGGGCGCACATGCAAGAATTGTTATTTTTTTTCGTCGGCAGCCAACACTGAAAACATAGATGGTCTGACAGCGAAGAGGAGACCTCAAGAGCCGAGTGTCGATGCAGCCTGAAGCACAGGGGCCGCCCATACATTACGTTATGCTTAGAGGGGAGTGGGAGCGGGTGGTGGAACGGAGTGTAACGGAACCATAATAAGAGAGGCAGGGGGGGGGGGGGGAATTTTAGACAACGACATATTACACTTAGGTGTCGTTGCAAATAATTCTTCAAAACTTTAAAAACAGATCTAAATTTAGAAACCAGATGCCATTGAACACGTCTGTTATTTGTTTCGCATCTCTAGCCTAGGTGAGGCCAAACGGACGTCACTTTGTTGGCAAGAGGGGGGGGGGGGGGGGAGTGTCGCCCAGTCTAACCAGCGCATAACCGGGGAGAGGGAGGCTTGAGCAAAGACCTAAATTGGGCAAAGTGATTTATAGAGGGCCCCACTATACACCTAATTACTCCAGTCATGTCGCCATCCCGAATGACGTCGGGCCGTCTCGTAGGGCTGGCTCCTAGGGGCATGCGTGCTTTAACGTTGCGTTACCCACAGGGACCTCGGGGCAGATTCACAGTGTGCATCAATGTCACCTGCTGACCGTTCCGCCCCAGCTACCAGCCCCGCTCTCGGTGACCGGTTGGCCCGACCGAGACCTCATCACTGACCCAGGCTGTAGCGTCTCCAGATAGAGGGCCGAGATGATTTTACGCTCTGGCTGTCGGTTGGGGTCCTCGGCCTGGTCGTACAGGTGGACCAGGTGGGAGGCGGCCGTCTCTCGGCCCCATCCCCGCACCTGTGGACACAGCGCGACCCGCCTGCACCACACCGATGACGTACGACTGATATACTCTCCACACACAAATACACGCTGTCTGCTGCATCTGACCGGCAGCTGCGACACTCCACACACCCACACCACACCCCTACCCCCACACCCACACCCCTACCCCCACACCCACACCCCTACCCCCACACCCACCACACCTACTCACCCACATCCGCCCTCCCCCCCCGCACACACACACACCACACACACAGGCACACACACCACACACACACGCACACTACTGCAGCTGACCGGCAGCTGGACTCTCCTCCCCCCACACCCACACCCCTCCCCTCACACACACTGCTGCAGCTGACCGGCAGCTGCGACACTCCCCCCACACCCACTACTGCTGCAGCTGACCGGCAGCTGAGGTACCCTCCTCACCCTGCCTTCTGCCGCTGACAACGAGGATACCGGTCCCAACGACCCACTGCCTCTGACGCGCAGCTGCGATATTCTGCACGGTGACGCCGATGAACCAGGCCACTGCATCACGCGTCTTCGGATTCGTTCTCCCCTCCCGCCCATACCAAAGCAGAGCACCATTCCAAGCGACAGAGTTTCAGTCATCTATTCATGGTTCTAAGACCGCTGTCAAGGCACCCAATATATTGTTCGAGACCTGCCCCGGCCAGCAGGTCTCTCATATACTCCTGAGTAATGATCCTCAGCCGGTCGTGACTTCCGCGCCGAGATGGCCTAATCGGTCTTCAGAGGGGCGCCATTTGTTTGTGGTTACAGGCAGCTGCTATGGCGAAGGTGTTAAGAAGCTTAGTGACGAAAGGTGGGAGTGGAAAATAATGCATATTTTTCGGTTTAATCAAATGCGTCCGTCCATTTTGGGCGTATTTGGACTTTGAGAGTCCCGACCGTCAGTTTGCTATCGAAAACCCCTTTAAAGAGCGCTACTAATTGGAAATTGAGCCCTATGTCTTGAACCCAATGCGGCCGTGTCGTGTGCGATCTCTTAAGAAACCTGTCTCGACGGTCACACGCTCGTGGAAGTCGTCACTGAGCTCAGGAATCGCATGCCGCGTGTAGGGTGCTTCCAACTGGCCCTTGTCTGATCTGCACCTCTCACGACGACTCGAGCGAGCCTTGTGGACCCCTTCATGCTGCATTCCATTGATGTTAAGCACGCGCCCGGTCAGAGAAGCTGACTTCCCCCTATAGTTTTTCGAGCACGGGTCAACAGCGAACGCTTGCAGCAACACGACATTTGGACCACCTGTTCATTTATCGGTTTGGTATCCTTCGCACAAATTTAAAGGTTTGATCCACCAAGATTACGGACCTAGGGCAGGTCAGGTAGGTCAACCTCTAAAAAAAATTGACCACACCCACCTTTTTGCGGACATCTTCCATAGTTCAAACTCGCATTGTAATGGGATATCACAGTACCTACGGTGTGTGTATTTCAAGTTTTTCGAAATAGGCAAGGTCAGTGACCTGAAGTCAGCTCAATTTTACTATTTTATAAATAATGCAAGGTTTTACGCATTTTTGTGCACTTTTGGTATTCATATATGAAGAAAAGAGTACTAACCCATATGCACAACGATCAGATGCCTAAAGAGCATCTGGCCTTGACCTAGGTCATCATCTGCCTCTACGAGTACCTTCTACAAAACACATGCTGAGCTCAAAATAGGCAGTTTTGTGAGATAACTTTGGGAGTAGAATTCGAAACTACAGTGAAAACATGTTGTGATACCATCCTGATGCATAATGAGATCCCAATAGGTCACATGAGGCTATGAATTATCATATGAGGTCATCCGATGTCAGTAACCCATGTTGTCAGCAGCGGAGAGGCTAGACGAACGAATGCGGGGCGTGCATCCATGTATCTGCATGATTTGACAACATTTTCACAATATTTTTGTTTCTCTCATACGCCTTGAGGTTGGAGATCCAAGGGGAAGGGCAACTCCCCCCCCCCCTGCCGCGCACGGTTGTCTCAGACCCCTCCCCCCCCTGGCCGGGCGCAGACTAAATTTTTGGTGTCTCATAAAAGATGTGCAAGCTCTGGTAATCGCAAGGCAGTTTACGCTCGTTCACGTAACCATCTTCTGCATCAACAACAGTCCTGCAATCTCACGCAACAGTTCCTGCACCCACACGTTGCACTGACCTTGTAGCTGACTGCCTTCCTGCGGAGCTCGATCAGATTGGTGTACCAGGTGCGGGACCTGGCGACGCCGGCCGTGGCCGGACCGGGGTCCGAGGCCCGGGGCCCGACCACCGCCGAGCCGTCATCAGTGAAGTCACGGAATTTGAGCCGGTACTTCCGAGTTCAGCATCGATCTGCAGCCAAGCAGGTGATCATCACCGGCCGGCCGCGGCGGGAGGATCGGCCGGCGAGATGAACAGAGGTATCGGCCGGCGAGCTGAACGGAGGTATCGGCCGGCGAGCTGAACAGAGGTATCGGCCGGCGAGCTGAACAGAGGTATCGGCCGGCGTGTTGGACAGGGGTATCGGCCGGCGAGCTGAACAGGGGATCAGCCGGCACAGTAAGCAGGGATGTCAGCCGACGAGCTGAACATGGGAATCGGCCGACGCGCTGAACAGGGGATCGGTCAGCGAGCTGAACAGGGGATCGTCCGGCACCGTGAACAAGGGATCGGCCGGCGAGCTGAACAGGGGATCGGCCGACGCGCTAAATAAGGTTGGCACGCTAAACAGGGGTATAAGCGGCACGGTGAACGGCCGGACAACGGACCAAATTCGCGCCATACTTTTAACACTACAGTACCTGGGGATTTAGTCTACTGGTAATTTTAACGGTTTTGTGATTCCGGTGGTAAGGTCACACCCAGGCCGGCTTGGCGGCTGTCCCAACCTTTCAAAGGCACCGCGTCCCACAGCGGGGTAGGCCGAGACAGTCGGAAAGGCCCTCTCGCCCGGTACGGAATCCCACCAGTGCCGTGCTCGAAGAAACGATTGAATAACATTGCTGGCTAAAATTTTAATGGCATTATTCTTTAAATGACTGCCTGGGTGAGATAGAGGAGCGACCGTCCAACGTCCGTGTGCGGCGCCTCTGCTCCGGTTTTGGTTCCGGATTGCCACAGCGTGTAGCTGAAAGGTTAAAGCGCGCATGACCGTAGCAGCTCTACGCGTCCCAGGAACAAATATGTTCCCCTTCGCCATGGCTCGGATTAAGACCGACTGGCATTCCAAGCTATAAGACTCAGTCTAAGATACTCAAACAGACGTTGAATGACACTGGAAGAATACCAACTCGTGCTCTCTACTCATGTTAACAACCGCCTTGACAAAAAAGAAATCAGCTGGTTGGCTTACTGGGCAGTCTCACCTTTGCTCAGTTATCACGGTATCTTGTTGTGAAGAGTTGGCTCCTGTTGTACCTGTCCACGATCCTGGAACACATTTGTAAAAAAGCAAAACCAGGATGAACGCGGTTAGAATGTCATCGCAGAAACGGTTTTCATGAATTCATACT